ATCCTTATGTTGCCATGTTATCAAAGCGCTACCTGGCTGTATCTGCTACCTCTGTCCCTAGAGAGGGTGTTCTCCACAGCAGGAGACATTGTTAGTGCCAGCAGATCTGCCATTTCAGCAAGCAATGTGGACAAGTTAATCTTTCTTTAAACAACATGAAAATACAATGACAAGCAAGTCCTAATGTCAAGCTGGCTGCTTAGGTACAGTACAGTTCAAATACAGATTATTTCAGTTCATCGAAATGCTGCACCTTAATGTTTATTTGACTATATTTTGTATTTATTTGAATACATTAGTCACAGTTTAATAATAATTTAAAAAATGTTTTTAATGTTTTGTGATAATTTTTTCTGCTGTACTGAAAACGTACCGAACCGAACCGTGACCTAAAAACGAGTTACGTACTGAACCGAAATGTTTGTGAACCGTTACACCCCTACAATCAATGTTAACTTGGAAAGCCACAATATTAATATTTTAACTCAATCACATAGGTGATATTATTGTGGCACATCAGTAAAGCCTTACATATAAGGTGGCAGACGTAATTTAATGAATTTTAACTGAACAATAACTGAATGAGTTTGTCTCACTCTTAGACCAGCAGGGGTTCCAAATCTATGCAGACTGCTGCAATAAGTACATTAATTAACTGTCTCATCGATGTTTGTCTGAATGAATATGATACTATTAACAATCATATTATTCCTATCAGCTGTCAATCACTGTTAATAAATAATAATAATAATAGATTTAATTTGTTAGCGTTTTTACAGGTGCTCAAAGACGCTTTACAGATATAGTGAAGAACTGTTATGATTCACATATTCATTTATTATTGAATAAACTATATTTATTTTTGGAGGAGTTAATGATGAATGTTCATCAAGATGCTTGCTCACCCTCCTTCAAATTTGAAAAACAAGTAATTATATCATTATTGATATACAGTTACAACCTTGACTTTACATCAGAAAGAACAAACATTAAAGAAGTGACTAACTGCATCAGTTAGGGTTAAAAAACGTGTATTCAGCTAAAACATCGCTGCAGTTATTATCCAGTGGAAGGTCCTTACCTACTGGCCTAGTTAAATCAAAGTGGTTACTTTCTGTTGGCTGGGCAGTGTAGTTTTACACACCGTCTTATTTTACTTGTTCAGGACTTACAATTGTTTTTTGGTGGCAGACCCCCTCAAAGAAAAAAATATATACACGCATACAAGGTCATCATCTTAACAGTTTGTTATTCTCATCGAGTCATCCGTGAGCAGAGCATCAAGTTGGCATGTCTATTACAGCTGAATGCGGCGATTACTATTTTGTTCAGCAAAACGCCTCACAAACGTATTAAGATCAACAGCTGTAGTGCGTTTGATTCAATGCTGAGTACAGCCAAACTTGACATTCTCTTCTCTGTCATTGTAGACCGCAACTACCCTCATTCCTTTAGTGCTTGGTTCCGAAAGGCTTCTCGTTTTGCGTCGTCCCGTTCAAATGAATTCGCCACCAATCATATTTCCACTCTCGCGCCAGGACCGGGGGAGGGGTTACATGACGTGCATCTTGTGCTGCATTCACTTGCACTCGGACATTAGAGACTTTCTCTCATAAATGTCCGATGAGCAACAACTTTTCTTTCAAAACAAAGATGCCAACTGGGGTGGCAGCTGGGGTGGCAAGGCTATTGTTTAGGGTGGCAGTTGCCACCCCATGCCACCCCGGTAGATCCGCCCCTGCTTCCGAGTCACTTGCTTCAGAAGCGAGGCAAGAATACTTCCTGGCATTCGGAAAGCGAAGAGTGGAACAGGCGAGAAGCCCTGTCTTACATTTTCCGCCACAGATTTGGGGGAAATTGGTCCGTGCGCAAAGCATTGTGGGTATATTAAGACCGCGGAGCCTATACATGTGCAGCCTCGAAATTTCTCGCTATGAAGTACGCCGGGCTCGATAGAATTCCAAGTATGCTGGACATTGGAACAGTACTTCGGCGGCACTCGATGACGTAGTATGCTTGAAATAGTGGCTCTGGAGCAGCTTTCCTCGACATTGAGAAACACCCTCTGCTGTGTGAACAGACGCCCCTCGTACTTGCTCTTTGACGTAGACAAATCTGTTAACAGTGGTTAACTCGTGTGGTCCGTATTAGTGTTGTTGTGATTAGATGTGTTTAGATTAGTTTAGTATTATGTTGACTGTTGTCCTATAGCGTAGCTGTGTTTTCCTACAGCCTCCTTTTGTTAGTTTGTACCACTTTAATAGTGAGGGTTGTTTTGTCACTATTTTTGTGTATTCATATCTATTCCTTTGTATTTGATTAGGCTCCCTTTTTAGACCCCATTTACACGGGAACATTTGCGTTTACGCACCGTATCCGTTTTCAAAAAAGTCTTCCGTTCACACGCATTCGGCTCAATTAACGTGTCCGTTCACACTAGACCGCTGGAAATGCTGGAAACGCTGTAGTACATATGCCAGGCCTGTAAGTGGCGCTGCTGCCGCCACAAAATACACCAAAAGCAGCGAAGAAGACCCCGGAGCATGGTTGCCCTTCCGTTTATTCTCCGCGGTGGACGGCGTGTGCTCCTGCTGTATATCTCTCCGGTAGTCCACCAGCAGATGAAAACACCCACCTCTCCGCCTCTTCCAAGGGACGAGGGGACGGCGCGGCAGAGTTTCTGTTAACGTTTTTTTTCGCTGGTCAACATGTCCTTGAAATCTTCCGGACAAAATTTGAAAAGTGCCGGTCAGAGGTCTTCTTTGTTATTTATTTAACTTTAAAACAAATTGATAACGACTCTATATAATAATATAAGAATAATAAACGGAGCCTCTCTTTTCCTCCCCCTCTTCTGACAGCCCAGCAGCTGATCTCTGAGCAGGAGACGTGGGGAGAGGGAGGCGGGGCTATTTAATCGTTAGCAGAAAATGATCTTATAGGGCGTACACACGGAGCCGTTGGACCCCCCAGAGCATTTCGTTTGTAAATCTATCCACCTTGGGACCCATTATCGTTTGTGGGGCCGTTTCTATCGTTTTGTTATGGCCTCGTGTAAATGAAAGGGCTATACGCAAGAGAAACTATGCGGATCCAACCCGTTTTGTTCTCGTGTAGACGGAGTCTAAGGCCCCGGCCACATGAGGACGAAAACGGCTAAACGCATAGGATTAACGCAAACGCAAACGCAAAAAAGCTTCCGTCCACACGCAATATTCACCGGATAGTGTCTGTCCACACGAGACAGCTCCGTTTAGCTCCAACCGCTGGAGAAGCTGCAGTACATATGCAGGAGCCTGTACGTGGCGCTGTAACTTCCTCCACAAAAGCAGCGAAGAAGCATGGTTGTCATGGTTGCCCTTCTGTTTATTCTCCGCGGTGGGGGCCGAGGGAACCGGGCAGAGTTTTTCACCAGTCAACGTGTATTCAAGTTGAAATCTTCCGACAAAATTATAAAAGTGTCGGTCAAAGGTCTTCTTTGTTATTTATTGAGCTTTAAAACAAATGAATAACGACTCTATATAATATAATAATAAAATACACGGAGCCTCTCTTTTTCCTCCCTCTCTTCGGACAGTGTCAGTGTCTGTCTCATGCAGCAGCTGATCCAGTAATGAGTGACCCGGCCGACAGTAAAAATAAACATATTTATAACTAGTTTAGGTAGTTTGAGAGGTGTCTCCGTCCTGTCAGATTAGACTTCACTCGCGTTTATGTCCATATCGAGAGAAAGATAAATAATCTGAATTCAGTGTGCAGTTTACTTTGACGCAGCAGAGGTGGGGAGAGGCGGGGCTATTGCCTCATTATTATCAGAAAATGATCGTATAGGGCGTACACACGGAGCCGTTGGACCCCCCAGAGCGTTGCGTATGCCGTTCTATCCACCTTGGGACCCGTTATCGTTTCCGCAGTCGTTTAGTGCCGTATTCGGTCGTCCTCGTGTGGCCGAACGGTCTATATGACACTAAACAGTAACGCAAACGGCCGTTTTCGTCCTCGTGTGGCCGGGGCCTGAAGCTTGGTCAGTCCCAAAACAAATCCCCACCTTTTAGCAACCCTTAGGAGGTTAGAGATGTTCACAGCTGTTCTGATTGAGTGCCTGTGTTTACATAACAATACATGTTTTAAAGAGGATATAATAGGGATGTTGAAGAGACTTTTGAATGAGCTGGATACCCCTTTAGTGCGATTTCTTTGACGTGCAGGGTAGAATTAAACATGTTACATTTACACAGGGCAATGTGACTTCTTCTGGTTGTTTTCAAGCCATGTCACTGGACGTATACAAGCCCAAATGTTCACCAACTATCCGACCGAGTAGTAATACAATGTCCACTCATTAACATGTGATTTAAAAGCAACAAGTACATACCACTTCTTTGTTATTAGCGATGAGATCTAAAGACACTTCAGATTAAAGCTTTTAACCATCTAGTCAAAGTGCTGAGATAAACTCTAATAGAGTTGTTAAAGGATGCTGACTACGGTGTTAAAAGTGCATCAGTTCACACCTCAGACGGTCCATTTTATTATTTGAGTTTTTTTTAATTTATTTAAAAGTTCTGAGGGCATAAACAGAGACTCTGAGCTGAGGGCTTTAACATCGCATCGAACAGAGATGTTGCAGAGCTATCCAAGAATAATGATTCATCTCGGTCAATACTGTGAGGTGTTTGTGTGTGTGTGACAGAGAGTGAAAGGAATGTATTGAAATAGAAAGACTTCCACTTCTGAATTAAGTTAAGGCAAAGATTATAGGTGTTTCTCTTTCAGAAACACACTTACACGTAATCACACACACACACACACACACACACACGTAATCACACACACACACACACACACACACACACACACACACACACACACACACACACACACACACACACACACACACACACACACACACACACACACACACACACACACACACACACACACACACCACACACACACACACACACACACACACACACACACACACACACACACACTACCTGAGTGTTTCGGTCCATTTGAGCTCCAGCTCCAGAGCCATCTTGTCCATTTTAAGTTTTTCTTCTTCTTTGGTGGTGATGATTTTGGCTTCATGATGACGCTTTTGGATCTCTAGCTCACCCTTCATAGAAAATACAAACAGAAAGTCAGTCAAACTCAGAGAAAGACCGACATTGGATAGTATTCTGTTGCTGCTCAAAGGTTTTTCCATCCAACAAGAATCTAGTTCTGTTGGCAACCTTGCAACTTTTGGGATTCTCTGTAGCGTGAATACAAGTTTAAACAGCCAACAGAAAATGCTGCCATTAGAGTCATCCTGTCAAGTCCTTCAAAAACCCACTCAGGAAGAATTTCTTTAATTATGTCTTTAAGTATCGAACAAAAAAGGCCATCATGAATTCATCCAAGAACTCAAATATGAGGATCCGTTTTGTATCAGAGTCAATTTGAAAAAATGTGGGGTTATGACTGTGGCCAAACTAAACAAGCACTGTGAATTTTCCATAGTTTTCTGAGTCATTCAATGGACTTGATGGGTGGAGTTTTTTTAAAGGGGACATTCAGGGTATATTTAAAATAAGGTTCAATCAATGTAAAGGCGCTACAGAAAGCATTATTTCCTCACATGTACAGTTAAAGAGCTGTGTATGTGTGTGTGTGTGTGTGTGTGTGTGTGTGTGTGTGTGTGTGTGTGTGTGTGTGTGTGTGTGTGTGTGTGTGTGTGTGTGTGTGTGTGTGTGTGTGTGTGTGGTGTGTGTGTGTGTGTGTGTGTGTGTGGTGTGTGTGTGTGACCTGCAGGGCTGTCAGCAGGTTGCTGGTCTCCCTCAGTCGGGCTCTGGTGGCGTCCAGCTCCTCCAGCAGTTTGTCCTGCGCCTCCTTCAGGGTGCAGATCGTTCCCTCGGCTGAGCCCATGTCCTGCTCCCCCTGCTGCACCTCCTGCTGCAGCCGGACCACCTGGGGGGGTTTGGTAGACGGAGAATAAACCAGGGCCTACTGGCTGTCCCACGGTCTCGTCTAAAAACTAAAGGTGACCGTGCCTTTCAAGTGGCGGCTCCAACACTTTGTCAAAGTCAACTTTATTGTCAATCTTTCAGTTTGTGTTTACAGAGTAGACAGAGAGATCATAATCAGGGTGCACATAACTTTCTCAGTGAGGTTGGCGTAGTTTTGGCACAATTCCGTTGTACAGACCGACGTTAACAGCAGCCCTGTCTGTGCACACGGAGACCGACTCTGTCGTCCGGTGATCTAACCGCCTTCTGGAAAAGCTTCACAAGTACGTCGGTACGCAAATGCGCTTTGTGACACAAGTGACGGTACGCATTTCAGATTGTTGCCGCGCATGCGTACCAGTTATGTTATGTTATGCACCCCTGATCATAATACTGTTTCCCACAATCCCAAATACAAAATCTAAATAGTTGCAAAATAGTTGTTGATACATTTTCTGTCAATTTAATTGTAGATCAGTCGTTTAATCTTTTAGGCTCTACTTTGTTGGAAAAAAACAGATATTAGATAACATCATTTTGATTTAAGGAAACAGTGGTAGTAAAATATAGTCCTCAGCAGACTGTTTTATATTTTAAATAATCACACTGGCGGGTAAATATTAGCGGGTCACAGGGTTTAGCCCTTGATTGTGCAGCCTGATGGATACAGGCATGCAGTGCATTATGGGGGTGTAGAACCTTTCAAGTGGTGCTCCAATACTATGGAACTCTCTCCCTAAAAACATCCGCTCTGCAGTCTCTGGGTGCGTCTCACTTCGGTTATTTTTCATTTCCTCGCTCCTCGGTCTCGGTATCACCGGAAGTTGATTTGTCTGCGCCATCTTGAGTACCGTCCCAGTGGCCTTATTTGTGCCGGAGGACCGATGAGCGAGGATCGAGGAGCGATAACGGAGGAGCGATAATCGAGGAACTACCAGACCATCCTCCGGTGAAATCCTCAGACACTCGCCCCGCCCCCTTACTGTGTATCGCTCACTGATTGGACGATGTAGCGCATGCACTGATCTGGCTGCTGTCAGACGATCAGCTGTGCGGCGTCATGACAAACGGACGTCGCTTCACGTGACGCTCCGGAGGAAACGACGTCCCATTGCTCTTAAAACTAATTTCCCTGCTTCTCGTGGTTTCCTTGCGTCTCTCCATGCTTCCCTGGTGGGAGGGACTAGTCGCAGGGAAACGACGCAAGTGAGGGACGCAAGGAATCCATTTAACCGAAGTGAGATGCACCTTCTGTAGAAGCTTTTAAAAAACAACTCAAGACCATTCTTTTTACATTGGCTTTTGTTTCTACTTGAGATGTGTGTGATGTGTTCTGTTCTTTTGTTTGTTCCTTTTCGGGACTCTACGTGGTCTGTGTTTTGTTTTTATGTTGACCTTAATAACGGCCTCATGCTGTTATTGTATTCATGTTTCTGTGGTCTTAATTTTAAGGTGTTATACTAAATAAACGTATTATTATTATTATTATTTTCACAACCTGGACACCGTTGCACTCCAGGCTGTATCTCAGTGTAGCAGCAACCTACCAACTCTACATCAGAATTTCCATCAAAAATGCATTCAATAAGCGTTTCTATTTCGGTTTTTACACGAGCCAGGTCCATATTCTTTCTGCCGACGTGGCAACATAGTTTTGCCACGCATCACATATTAATTTAACTCGATGTTAAAAGCACAGGAGAAAATTGGAGTGCACAAACAACAGCAATAAACACAGCGTGGCGTGAGTTTATACACAGAGAAACGATGTGTTCAAGGAGCAGGGACAAACCAACCTCTCTCTCTTTGTGTTTTAACATGCAGGCATTGGGACTTGGCAAAACCAACCACATTATTCCTGAATGCCAACAACTGCATTTGTAAATCTATATCAAAAAGCTAATATCTTCAAAAAGTTAACATTTTATTTGGTAGTTAAACAGTTAGCTTTATTCAAAACCACATTTTCTTATGACTCTCTTTTAAAATGGCCAGTTATTTAGGTAAAGTCAGTGTGAGGTTCAAAAATAAAATACTTTGAGTAAAGGGTTTCAAGGGATGATTGTATTATCTGACACATATGAGTCTTTTGAGTTTGGGATGTTAAATTGCTGCAACTTCTGGACTAAATGTGGGTTTATTAAGTATATTTTCCACATTTCAAGTTGTCCTAAAAGAAATGTGGAAGTGAGCCTTATAGATTGTCCGCTGGTATGACTGTCTATCTTATGCTTCACAAGGTAAATTCCATTCAATATTTATTTAAGTTTTCTGGAAAATTTGAATAAAATCATAAAAAGGACGATAAAATATAAGGATAAAAGTCATACGAAGTGATAGAAAGTTCCACAACAACTACGATATTAAAGCTCCCCTATGATACTGTTTTTCATCTCAGATACAGTATATACAGAACATGTCTCCGAACACCAAACAGATCATTGCAGCATTACCCATAATCCCCTCTGTTTCAGCCCTGTTTCCAAAGTGCTGATTCTCTGTCTGTTACTTTAGATGAAAATAAGGAGCCCCTCCCCACGCCCCTCTGAGAGACATTTGGTTACAAAGAACTCAATGGTGCTCTAGGAGGAGATTCAGGTGATAAGGTGGGGGGGTTACCTTGGTTGCTGATTGGCTAATGGTTACACAAGACAAAACATTGTTATGACATCATAAAGTGGCCAAAATCTGATCAGCTCATTTTCAGACAAGTTTTTATAGAAATGGATCAAAAAGAGAGAGAATCTTTGTTCCTGAAACTTTCAGAGTCTCTTTCCACAGAGGGGACACATGTTGATGTAGAAGAGACATGAAGAAGAGGGGACACATGTTGATGTAGAAGAGACATGAAGAAGAGGGGACACATGTTGATGTAGAAGAGACATGGAGAAGAGGGGACACATGTTGATGTAGAAGAGACGTGAAGAAGAGGGGACACATGTTGATGTAGAAGAGACATGGAGAAGAGGGGACACATGTTGATGTAGAAGAGACATGAAGAAGATGGGGACACATGTTGATGTAGAAGAGACATGAAGAAGAGGGGACACATGTTGATGTAGAAGAGACGTGAAGAAGAGGGGACACATGTTGATGTAGAAGAGACATGAAGAAGAGGGGACACATGTTGATGTAGAAGAGACATGACGAAGAGGGGACACATGTTGATGTAGAAGAGACATGAAGAAGAGGGGACACATGTTGATGTAGAAGAGACATGAAGAAGAGGGGACACATGTTGATTGTAGAAGAGACGTGAAGAAGAGGGGACACATGTTGATGTAGAAGAGACATGAAGAAGAGGGGACACATGTTGATGTAGAAGAGACATGAAGAAGAGGGGACACATGTTGATGTAGAAGAGACATGAAGAAGAGGGGACACATGTTGATGTAGAAGAGACATGAAGAAGAGGGGACACATGTTGATGTAGAAGAGACATGAAGAAGAGGGGACACATGTTGATGTAGAAGAGACATGAAGAAGAGGGGACACATGTTGATGTAGAAGAGACGTGAAGAAGAGGGGACACATGTTGATGTAGAAGAGACATGGAGAAGAGGGGACACATGTTGATGTAGAAGAGACATGGAGAAGAGGGGACACATGTTGATGTAGAAGAGACATGAAGAAGAGGGGACACATGTTGATGTAGAAGAGACATGAAGAAGAGGGGACACATGTTGATGTAGAAGAGACATGAAGAAGAGGGGACACATGTTGATGTAGAAGAGACGTGAAGAAGAGGGGACACATGTTGATGTAGAAGAGACGTGAAGAAGAGGGGACACATGTTGATGTAGAAGAGACATGAAGAAGAGGGGACACATGTTGATGTAGAAGAGACATGGAGAAGAGGGGACACATGTTGATGTAGAAGAGACATGGAGAAGAGGGGACACATGTTGATGTAGAAGAGACATGAAGAAGAGGGGACACATGTTGATGTAGAAGAGACATGAAGAAGAGGGGACACATGTTGATGTAGAAGAGACATGAAGAAGAGGGGACACATGTTGATGTAGAAGAGACATGAAGAAGAAGGGACACATGTTGATGTAGAAGAGACATGAAGAAGAGGGGAAACATGTTGATGTAGAAGAGACGTGAAGAAGAGGGGACACATGATGTAGAAGAGACATGAAGAAGAGGGGACACATGTTGATGTAGAAGAGACATGAAGAAGAGGGGACACATGATGTAGAAGAGACATGAAGAAGAGGGGACACATGTTGATGTAGAGAGACATGAAGAAGAGGGGACACATGTTGATGTAGAAGAGACATGAAGAAGAGGAGACACATGTTGATGTAGAAGAGACATGGAGAAGTGGATTTGCATAATAGGTGACCTTTAAAGCTCTTATTGATCTGACATTTTTTACACTTAAGGAAGGTACATATTTAATGTTTCAGATGTCCTACCTCGTCGTTGGCGGCGTTGAGTTTGGAGGTGAGCTCCTCCCTCAGCTCGTCCAGCTGCTGGCGGAGCGTCGTCTTCTGCTCCTCCAGAGAGAGGCGCTCCTTCTCAAACTGCTGATCCAGCTCCTGTGGAAAACCGTCAGAAACACACATCAAAACAAATGAGGGACAGTTTCATCCCACAGGCCACAAGACTGTTAAACACCTGCACTTTTGAAAGAACATCCATAACATTCATCTGTTTACAACTTATCAATATTCCAATTACTTGTATATAGACTATTCTGCACTATTTCTATTATATTTAATTTACTTGCACTATTATCAGTTGTATTGTGTATTGTATTGTGTAACTATAGCTTTGTACCATTGACAATAAAAGCCTTGAATCTTGAATAAAAGTCAAGAAGCATCAACAAGTAAATGTCTTGCGGCTATATCGAGAATTCATGTCCAAATCCAAGATGTTCAAGTTGTATTGGAAGAGAAGTGATATTTTATTAGTATTCATGGTGTTATGAAGACTCTCAGATACAGACATAAGAAGTAGATGTGTTGAAAGATTTATTTCCAAACAGACTGGACTTTTCCCCTTAAAAATAAACAGAAACTCTTCATATCTCCCTCAGTTTGAGTGCAGAACTACACTTGGTTTGCCATTATATTCATCTGTGCAACATGCTCTAAAAATACCCCGAACTATTGCATTGTCCTTGACAGCATTGTTAGCATAATGAAGCTTATTATGCCTGCTGATGAATGGGGAGCGATTTATGTTATAGCGCGTAGCGATCACTGCTTTCCAAGGACAATTAGAGCTGGGGAAAAATGGCTGTAATGTTAAATGACATTTTCCACCATTATTCATTACACAAGAGAATGGAGTTTGTAACACACAAACATAAAAGTATCGCCTACTGGGACACAGTTCCATACAAATGAATGGAAATTCGACTGAATGAGGGAACGAGTGACAAATCACAGTAATTCATGTGTGATGACATCTTGTATTTCAGTGGAGGACGTGATAACTGAGGAGTGAATACTGACTGACGCTAATATGTTAAACAGTTTGGTCTAATCTGGGATAAAGAATGGCCTTTCAAATGATCCAGAGTTTGCACTAACAATCTGCTCCTGCTTTCCCCTAAGAGGCCGCTTCTGCTTGCAATAGTTTCAACACTCTTATGCAACCGTAAAAAAAGACAAGAATGAGGCTGGTAGAACAAATCCCGAGGAGATATGTCCGCTCTGATGTTCGCCTGCAGCCTCTCCTCCCACAGGTCCTCACAGAGACTTTCATTCAGACTATTCCTTAGTAGAGAATATATTGGTAGAAAGGGTTTCAGGCAGAAATCTGGATACCTAACTTCAAACTTTCTTGTTATTTACCTGCTCTGCTAATCATGTGCTAAAGTAAATCAACCAATCAATCAGATACTGTATGATGAAGACTCAGGCTAATGATGAAGACTCAGACTCATCATGAAGACTCAGGCTAATGATGAAGACTCAGACTCATCATGAAGACTCAGGCTAATGATGAAGACTCAGACTCATCATGAAGACTCAGGCTAATGATGAAGACTCAGACTCATCATGAAGACTCAGGCTAATGATGAAGACTCAGACTCATCATGAAGACTCAGGCTAATGATGAAGACTCAGACTCATCATGAAGACTCAGGCTAATGATGAAGACTCAGACTCATCATGAAGACTCAGGCTAATGATGAAGACTCAGACTCATCATGAAGACTCAGGCTAATGATGAAGACTCAGACTCATCATGAAGACTCAGACTCATCATGAAGACTCAGACTCATCATGAAGACTCAGGCTAATAATGAAGACTCAGACTCATCATGAAGACTCAGGCTAATGATGAAGACTCGGGGGAGACACGGTTTATATCTCCATCTTCTATTTCTTTAAAGGGCCCATGTCATGCTTTTCCGGTTATCACCCGTCCCCTTGTTGTTATGAAGGTTTTTCTGCATGTAAACGGTCTGCAGAGTCACAAACCCTCAAAGTACACCCTGTAGCGAGTAAAACTCTAACACAGAGAAGACCTGTCTGTGCTGCCCCAGAACGCCTCGTTGGAGATTTCTCTTTTTCCATTGTTTTCTTCCTGGGTTCTGTGACGTGCCCTAACCCAAATGGACCAATCCGCGGCGCCGTTACGTCCACGTTACGTCCACGTCACGTCACACACTCAATCTTTTCTCAGTTGTAGCTCCGCCGATTTCTCCTCCCTGAGACGGCGGGACGCGGGGAGGCTGTGAGTCGGTGTGTGAGCACACACACAAACTCCCAGCCAGGCTGCGGGTGTGTGTGGGTGTGTTCGGGCTGGGTTTCGCTGTCTCGCAGACGGCCACTGGGCTCACAGGGAGGGGGCGCAGGAGCTCCAACAAGCCGTTTAGGACAGAGAGTGAATACACATACTAGACAGAGATGCTGTGAGAAACCAATGTGAGTTTGGAACATTGAACAATGTAAATGTATTCTAGTAGACCTCAACAATGGAATTATGATCAGTAGAAATGGCCATGACATGGGACCTTTAAATGATATCCCACCCCCCAACAAAATAAGTTACCATAGCTATGCAGATGACACACAAATTTACGTAACAATTTCACCAGGAGACTATGCTCCAATTCAAACACTGAGTAAGTGCATTGAACAAATCAATGACTGGATGTGTCAGAACTTTCTCCAATTAAACAAAGATAAAACTGAGGTAATGGTTTTTGGAGCCAAGGCAGAACGTATACAAGTTAGCGCTGAGCTTCAGTCTGCAATGTTCAAAACAACAGATAAAGCCAGAAATCTAGGTGTAGTCATGGACTCTGACCTGAGTTTCAACAGTCACATTAAAACTGTTACTAAATCAGCCTACTATCACCTAAAGAATATATCTAGGATTAAAAGACTAATGTCACAGCAGGATTTGGAAAAACTTGTCCATGCTTTTATCTTCAGTAGACTGGACTACTGCAATGGTGTCTTCACAGGTCTCACTAAAAAAATCTATTAGGAAGCTGCAGCTAATTCAGAACGCTGCTGCTCGAGTCCTCACTAACACTAAGAAAGTGGATCACATCACTCCTGTTCTGAAGTCTTTACACTGGCTTCCTGTGTGTCAAAGAATAGATTTCAAAATACTGCTGCTGGTTTATAAAGCACTGAATGGTTTAGGCCCAAAATACATTTCTGACCTCCTGCTAAATGATGAACCATCCAGATCTCTCAGGTCTTCAGGGACTGGTCAGCTTTCTGTCCCCAGAGTCAAAACTAAACATGGAGAAGCAGCGTTCAGTTATTATGCTCCAAATATCTGGAACAAACTCCCAGAAACCTGCAGGTCCGCTGCAACTCTGACTACTTTTAAATCCAGGCTGAAGACTTTTCTTTTTGTCGCTGCTTTTAATTGAACTATTCATATCTTAGACTGCACTGTAACTTTTATCCATGTATTTTTTCTTTTAATGTTTATTTTATTAGCTTTTCTTTTTAATGACTGATTTTAAATGCCATTTTCTTAATCTCTTTCATTTTTTGTAAAGCACTTTGAATTGCCTTGTGTTGAAAAGTGCTATATAAATAAACTTGCCTTGCCTTGCCTTGCCTTGCCTTATCCATGGTAGTTTGTAGCATTAACAGCTGTATCATCAATTATTTTGGCACTCATGCTTTGAATGCAACATTGACATCTTCCTATGGTGGCATCATATACTATAGCTAATGAGATTTAAATAACATGTTTACTTGTTATGCAAAAACAAAGAACATTAGCATTCATTTAGAGTCCTATCCACCTGATGAATGTTAGTCCAATATGTACCATCCTTTCAGCTCCATCAGCTTGCCAAATACTAAATGCTTATATCATGTGTTGGCTGTTTGGTGCTTGGCAGCTAGCATTACAGTTGTATTGAAAAAAGAACACAAAGCGCTTAGACTAAATCAAAATAGTAGAAATGCGTCCAAAAACCTGAAGAATAAGCTAAGAGATGGTAGAAGAGCTGAATGGGGACTAGGTGATAATTAACTCTGGGTTTGTAGCAGCCTCCTTTCAAACTACATTTTGTAATTTGATACATTTTAAATACATATAATAATGAGTGCAGTTGTAAGCGCTTACAGTAGGTAAGTAGGTATGTAAGGAAAGAATGACATAACATGTGTTTAAGATTTAGTAGAAACAATAAATACTTTCTGTTTTAGCTAATTCTTTGATTGATTTAATGCGAATTGTCTAAATAAAATAGCATCCATGGTCATCTCTTATAAGATTTTCTACCATGTTTAGGCTTCAGAAAAGGTACATTTGCACCTAAAGTTCTCACTGTTTTACTGACTGGATTATTACAGGTTTTTCTATAAAAAGAAAAATGTGAATGCACCATATCAGACATCAACATCTCAACCTTGAATGACTCTTTATGTCATTTATAAATTTACGTAAATAAATACATTTATTGGGAGAGTCAGGAGGAATCTAACAGGACACATCAGGATTCATGTCATACCTCGCAGATCGATATGGAGGGCGAGAGCGAGGCACTGCAGACACGTTCATTTGTATTCTGAACGCAGCCTCCTCTCAGACACCTCTCATTATCATTTAAAGCGATGAAAGAGTAGAGGTGATGAAAGAAAAGATGATTAACTAGACGTGATGAAACCTGGACCAGACAAAAGACTTAAATGAAGACGAGTGGAGGGATGAAGAGGCATCTCCTCGTGTTTCTGCCCCTGTGATTCAGCAGAAAACTGCAGCAAGAGGATGAGAATTCAGATCATGCATTCAACCTTTAAAGAGGATATTATGCTCATGTCCAGGTTCATATTTGTATTTAGTGTCTCTACTGCAGCACCTCTTTTCACCCTCTGTCTGAAACCAGAGCCCAGTCTGCTCTGATTGGCTAGCTGGCCGGTTCTGTTGTGATTGGCCAACCAGCTTAGAGATGTCCCGCCCCTTATCCTATCACGAACAATGTGTTGGAGCGCTAGCCAATAGAAGCTTGAGTGTTACATAGTGATGTCATTGAAATGGAAGTAAACAAAGGAGTCCAATTGAGGCGTTTCAGGTATTTCTGCACCAACACCGTCATAGCACTAGGAAATATATTGATCAATATATCGGGACGTGAGATTAGGGGTGTTTCTCAATGTCGAGGAAGGATGCTCCAGAGCCACTATTTCAAGGATGCTACGTCATCGAGTCCCGCCGAAAGGACTGTTCCAATGTCCAGGATGCTTGGAATTCTACCGAGGCCGGCGTCCTTCGTTGCGGGACATTTTCGAGGCTGCACATGTGTATCCTCTGCGGTCTTAAAATCCCCACAATGCTTTGCACACGGACCAATTTCCAAAATCGTTGGCGGAAAATGTAAGGCGGGGCCTCGCATATGACGCACACCTGCACACTTGCTAGCCATTCTTCGTTCATCCGAATGCCAGGAAGGATTCTTGCCTAGCCTCTGAAGGACCTGACTCGGAAGACATGTCCCACCAAGGAAGCGTCCTTGACATCGAGAAACACCCTCTATATTAACAAAGAATTTGGATTTCATAATGTAGCACATGTCTTGTCTTGGATTTAAAGGCAGATTTAAAGTGGAGTGAATTTTCTGAACCTAGCAAACTGTTGTAGCTGTTCTACATTTTCCTTTACCCTATTAGTCATCACATTTACATTTGTGACAATTATTTATAAAAAACATCTTACTGTGTTAATATTTCCCCCAAAAAATCCTACACTTGGGATGAATGAAGTATCCATATCCATCTATCAATCCAAATATCAAAACATCATCGTCACAATATCGATATCTAGGTATTTGGTTATCAATGCGGTTTTGTTTTATTTAAAGTATGTATATGAATCTTTTAAATATGGCTTTTAACTTGGGTTAACTTTCAATTCTCACTCGTATCATTGTCCATGTTTTACTGTATTGTTTCCGTTTTTATTTTAACCTATTTTAATTTATTGTCAGCTTGAATTCAAGGGAATCTCGTTAGGATCATGTTTTATCTTGTTCTGTATTTATTTTAATATTGTTGCTATGTGTTTCTGTAAAGCACTTTGGGCTGCTTTGTGCATGCAAGGTGAATTATTGTGCATATCAGTTCACAATGGGATGTAATCTGAGGCCCTGAACGCCTGCATATGGAAAAGCAGAAAGCTTCTCCTCTTAATGCGGCTGTCATCTCTGACGGGCTCTTCTGTGGAGTATCATTAAAAACACGTCCTCATTATGCAACTTTGATGCAAGAGAATATTTGATCACTTGCTTCCACATGGCTGTGTGTGACTGGAATAAAGGACCCGCTGGAGAGGGGGCTTCATCACGAGGCTATTTCAGGCTGCATTATGGAGCGCTGTGGTTTGGAGCAGCGAGACCCCGGGCTCATTAAACGTGTCCCAGGACCCAATTTGTAATCCTCAGGAGCAATTTCAATTATGATACCGAAGCTGAAGTTTGGCTATTTGATCAGAGAGCACAAGAGGGAACAAGTGAGGAGCTGCAGGCAGATTGTTGATGCTTTTGTTCACCCTTACTGGCTTAAAATGTCTTTAATAGTGTCTCTAAGTATTGTTCCAAAAGCTTTCCTGCCTTTTTATTGAATGAGCTACCTTTCGTTATTTAAATGCAGATAATGTCCTTTTGTTATTGTTCACTCTGAAACCCATTGATTTATTTTCTCAGTCTGTACAAAAGATGGTTTTCAGCTGATATCCTTGACTGTAAAAGTGAATATGCAAGAACATTGAGACTAACCTTCATGCTTCTTTCTTTTTTAAGACTAAGCTGGATTCCTTTAATGAAAATGAGCAAAAGGGCACATCACATTAGCTTTGCAGGGTGCGATCAGTGGAAGAAACATGAAGGTTCAAACGTAAATAATCATCTTGAAGGGCTAAAACCTGCTTTTGCTGACCTCACTTCACTCAGGAAGAAGGAAGGAAACAGGAAGTTCTTCCCAAGGAGTAAAAATATATACCATAGAATATGCAGTAGACAAGCAGTGAAAAGCGCCATCTAAGAAGTGTGTGTGTGTGTGTGTGTGCGTGTGGTAAAGCCCAGTGAGGGGTCGTCACACACTGTGCTAAGTAGGTAGCGGTGAAATATTAATGCTGTACATTTTTTTTACACACACACACACACACACACACACACACACACACACACACACCTCCTCATTTTGAACACTTAACCAACTTTAAACTCTCCACTTGCAGTTTTATATGCAGTAAATGTCAGCGGCGTATAAGTAGGAATTCAGATTTAAGGTCCTGCACTCATTTAAATGTCAAAACTCCCACACTGTCTCCAAATCTGACTTTCCAGACTTGTGAGAGATATTTATGCTTATTATATATTTGGTCACATGGTCATTTTGCCTTTCTTAACTGTGAATAAATGGATTCAAACTCATGTGTCAAAGTGACATGTACCGGTATTGGAAGCAAATGCCCTTAATGATTCATAGTTGTTAGCAATGCAATCTTAAAGAGATCCTTTTATGCTTTCTGGGGTTTGTCTTTCCTGTAGTGTGTTATATAGATTTTAGTGCATGAAGGCTAACATCCCCGCATTTGGGAGTTTCTCTCCCACATCACTGGGCTCTGGTTTCAGACAGAGGGTGAAAAGAGGTGCTGCAGCACAGGCAGTATGAGAAAAATAAAGAGCTTTTTGAACATTAGAGCTTGGAGACATGAGAGTAGAGACACTAACTACTAATATGAAACAAGCATAATATATCTTCTTTAATTATCTGTAAAGATCACAGCTATCCTAGAGTGTCACATTAAGTACTAGTATGAAGTATTAATGTACCAAAAACACAACATTCTTTATATTTCTGCACTATTTTAATACAAATATAAAAAATGTCTAATATGTGACTCAATGTATACTGTTGTTGTCCGCTTCCACACTTCCTCTCATGTGTAGGAGGCGTGTGGTGCAGTGGGTTGGACACACACACACACACACACACACACACACACACACACACACACACACACACACACACACACACACACACACACACACACACACACACACACACACACACACACACACACACACACACACACACACACACACACACACACACACACACACACACACACACACACACACACACACACACACACACACACACACACACACACACACACACAAGCAGCTGTGTGTCTTCTTGGTGAATAGGAGCAGTGGCAGCTTTAGCATCGCTCAAAAATAGCACATGAGAGCGCTTCGTATCACCTGTGTGAGTCATCCACGGCTCCAAACAGCTGCCACAAAATATGTTTTCATTCACAATTTTCCTGTTCGGCATCTATTTTCTACCATCATCAGCGTCATAAGCTCATCCAGAATACTCACATGTCCCTCCATCCCGGGGGCAAATGAGCTCAGAGTTGCTCGTAAAGTCACGGATGATAAATGAGTAAATATAAACATTTTCTCCCACGTCAGTAGGCCGCATTTCTTTGATGTATTTTACTCTATAAAAAACATAAATAAACTGCACATTTCCTGCAGGTATCTGAGCTCCTGTCACTTGGTATTCCTGCGTGTGATGTCGTATTCATTTGTATTTCAACCTGTGCAGAGAGATAACACAAAACCTGAGTCCTAGCTTTGAAAATGGTCTCTTGTATTGCTCTGGTTGACATGCTGTGTGGTTATGAGCATCGTCTCATTTCCTGCACTGCAGAGCTGATCAATTCTTTAAAGTAATAGCTTTCAGAAATGTTATGTGGACTCAAAGCTCTTCTGTAGTTTTAATAAGCACACAGGAAATGTGAGATAGCTGGATAAAGCAGGAAGGTAAATCGAAATAACTTCTTGTTTCTTTATAAAAACACCACAACCTGAGGGTACGGTACATCTTAACGTAATATATCTTGAATGTCCGGTCATTAAATCCAAGCTTCCCCTGACCTCTCTTGGCCTGTCTTGAAATAGTTTCCATTCCTAGAAATAAGTACAATTTGACGGATATCTTTACTATTTAAAACACAGTTCAACCTCAACCAATTTAAACTGAATAAAGTCATCTTTTAGCACGAGTGTGCTCAATATTCCTCCGTTTATACAATATGAATGGGTCAGTGGTGGGTTGTTAATCAGATTAAAACATATGCAGAGAAATCAGGACGTCTGTCATCCATAATCACCAGTCATCCATTAACAGGCCTGTTTATCATCAACAGACTGAGGTGGTGCGACAGGTTCAGATCGCTTGGCAGGCGACACCTCCAGAGTGAAGAGAGACTGAGAGAGACAGCTGGCATGTTCTCACTCCTGTTTAAATGTTTAATGTGCAGGAATGGAGGAAATTGTGAAGAGAAATCCATCTTATCAGCCTTCAAGTAATGTGTTTGTGTTCTTACTGTGTGTGTACTACTACAGTACATATATTGAGTAAATTGAAGCTATTTGAGACTGAGATAAAGTACTTTATACGGTATGTTTGTAATTAGTTAAATCTATACCAATACTTGATGTTTTAAGAGCACATTGCAGGGCTTGATGCATTTGTTCAAAGCTGTAAATGAACCTATGACTTCAACAATCAAACTTATGTAATTCAGTAGCGTAAAAACGATAGTGAACACTTTTTTCGTCAAGTAACCAAATCGCTCTCCAGGTTGGATCAAAATCCGTATCTTTCACCAACAACTGTCTAAATATACCTCTATAGGAAAAGTTATTATTAATCTGCATTAAGCAGACTGAACCAGGATCAATTGAAACTACTGCTTTGAAGAACAAACGCAACTAACACAAAGTCACATGCATTTCAAAATGAATCGTGTCTTCAATGTGCATGACCATCTCGGCATCTGATGCACTCTGACAATTTGTCATCTGATATTCTTCATGAGGTCTTCTGTTTTCATCATAGCAAGAATGTGAGCGTGGTGTGTGTGTGAGTGTGAGTGTGAGTGTGAGTGTGTGTGTGTGTGTGTGTGTGTGTGTGTGTGTGTGTGTGTGTGTGTGTGTGTGTGTGTGTGTGTGTGTGTGTGTGTGTGTGTGTGTGTGTGTGTGTGTGTGTACTCACGGCCAGCATGCGGTTCTTCTCCTTCTCGGCGTTGTTCAGAGCGTTCTCCAGGGTGACTCGGTGTTTCTTGGCGACCTCCTCCAGAGCCCTGGCCTGGCTGTCCTTCATCAGGTTGGTCTCCTCTTCGGATCGAGCCTGGATGTCCTTCATGTCCTTCTCGTGGGACGACTTCTCCTCACGCAGGGTCTGAGAGAAACACAAATGAATATGCATGAACACACACGTTTAGAAATATGCACAGAGGTGAGTGTTTTTGAAACACGATACACACACACACAGAGAGAAAGGGCTTGGGCTGACATTCAACCCATATGCTGTATTTTTTTGAGCCACATTTAAATGTTTATTAAGTGACCGCAAAGAAATAAATCTTAAACTGTCTGTTTGTCCATCTCTCTCACCCCTTCACATTTGTTTTTCCTGAAGCACCAAAACCCAACAGAACATTTGTAACAGACTCCATGTTGGATTACTGATAAAGGGGTTATTCATTATAGAGACACAGAGCAGCCTAACCATTATCCTGATGTTGGTGTTTGTCAGCTGTCGTCTGCAGCCTCAGGCGTGACGAATGCAAGGACTTTTTGCTAAATCACGGCCTCTTTTAGTTACTCTTGCTTCACATCTCAAGATGATACCAGATTCAATTGTTTTCTATTGCACAATAAAGAAGAAGAAGAAGACTCATTGCCAAAAGTATCGTCTGGAAAAACAACAGCATTACTAATACGCCCTAGCTTGGTTGAAAAATAGCCTCAGACAGAGTTTTTTAATGTTTTTGTTGACTTATTTTGAAATGAGAACCATTCAAAAAGTTCTTTAATATGCATGATGGGGATTTAATGTTTTAAAGTGTCGTATTTCTATTATCTATATATGTTAGCCTGCTGCTAGAGAATAACATACCTCCAAATTCCAATTCCAAAACGTTTGATCAGCTGACGAACATCCTGTTAGAGTTTAAATGCAGTTTTTAATAAATGGCCTAATCTCTATTTTCTCTCCACCAGTGCGAAACGCCAATTCTTTACATTTTTCGCCTGGTCTTAAGATTTAATTTGGAGTGTATATTGATTGATGTGCCTATTAAGAGTTGCTAAGCTGTGATAAGACAATCACTGTTGTGGGGGGGTTAATTGGGATCATTTGGAGCCTGCTGATTACTGATTTGCGGGTGATTGTTTGAGTAAGAGGAGGAGTAGTAGAATAAGAAGGGAGCTGCTTCATAGATTTTTAAACTGCAGGGATAAAAGTGAAATATAGGAATGGATATCAGCCAAAAGATGGATCTCAGAGGACACAGAGGAGGAAGAAGTCCTGCTGATTTAAGTTGTTTCTGAGCTCCGTATATCGTGTGACAGTCAGACGAGCAGACAGCCAGGAACAAACGGCAAATTGGTTTCGCAAGGTCACAGAAAACAGCGATGTTTCTGAGGAACCCAAAAATGTAATCTGAAACCCATTTACTTTGAGTTTCATCAAGCGAGCAGCTGTTTCTTCATCACATGGGTTTAGCAACATTTTAATTAGCCAAAAAGACACATGGGAGCAGAAATATCCATCAGTGAGATCTGACAGTGGGATCACTGAAGACCCTTAAAGCAAGCCAAGACCCTCTCCGTGAGGCTGTTTCCTGATAGAGTGTGGATTACGTGACTTCATGTGACTACTAATGAGATAAAATACAAATAAAACCTTCACTTTTTGTTTGCAATGTTTTGAAATACACTGCTGGTATTCTGCTGTCCATACGTCAATGTTTTTTTCGTGCAAAGATGTAAACAATGGCTTTGAGGTTCGGATTGTTCTGGTTTCTGTTGCATTATTTAACTTTTGTTTTGGCTGAGTAGCCTGACATTTATACAAATACAAGGTATGACATTTAGGGCTTTCTTTTTTTAACGCCACTAATTATTTTAACGTGCGATTAACGCATGTGTATTTGTCCTCGGTCCGCCCTGTAGTTTCAGAGCCCAAAGGCTTGACGTTGTTGTTGTTGTTGTTGTTGTTGTTGTTATTAGTTGGATGGTGGGAGATTCTAGCGAGAGATATGGATACAAAAAAAGGTGTTTTAAACAGCTAGCCAAGCACACAGCTGATACTGACAGCTCCTGCCACTCGCTTGCGCTTGAAAGTTTGCCGGGGAGACGCCTGGACAACAACAGCGATAGCTACATGGTTACAGCTTAACATTGTGGAGGACGAGGGGCTGCGTTAGATCATTTGGATCGCATCCAACGTGTCGACTGCACATCACAGCGCATTATTTTGACCCTAGGTGGGAACTTCAGTCTCATGCTTTGACTGGTATGAAGACAGAGGAGCGGCATTTCGCCGACAACTGTAAACAGGCTTGTCTGTTTGAGCAACTGGCTCAGTGCAGAGAAGTAGACAGGGTTGGGAGAGAGAGAGAGAGAGAGAGAGAGAGAGAGAGAGAGAGAGAGAGAGAGAGAGAGAGAGAGAGAGAGAGAGAGAGAGAGGTTGTTGTGTTGAGAATATTCAGGAGAATATTTGTCATTGTTCCAGTGATAACAAACAGACATTTGCATTAAGCATATTTGTCCACTCATATGTTGATAAGAGTATTACAAACTTGAAAGATATTCCTCTAAGGTACATTTAGAACAGATACAAAATGTGCGATTAATTTGCGATTAACTATTTTAATCGACTGACAGCCCTGATGAAATTAAAGCACAACGATAAAGAATAAATGGACCAGATACTAGGACTGTCAAGATCAAGTTTATTTTGTCCTAAGTCCTTTAACATACTGTAATGTATACAGAGTTCAATGCAACACTTATATTCACCCAAATGATTATTGACCACATGTGTAGCCCTCTAACGTTATCCTGGTTCAGGACTACTCACTTGATAAGCTTAAATTATTCATATGGTATGAAGGAAAGTGGAAACTGTAAGGACGCTAGAAAACATATTATGTTTGTTATCAAGTTACGCGTGGAATTAATATTAATTAGCAACAGTTGATATGGATTTCAGCCGGCATCATCTGTCATTTTAACCTGATAGTCAGCACTGGCTCAACGATGAGAAGCTGCTAGCTGAGTATTGCATCATTGAATGAGAAAAATAGAAAGGGATAGAAAATCTGTTTCCATCAGAGCTTAATGAATTATGCTAACCTTGGTGTCAGAACAAAGTTAATCAACAGTGCAATACAATAGTTTTCACATAAGAGTCAAATTGTCACACTCATACTGATGGAAAGGCTGCACTGTACAGCTAAAGTTAAAATGGAGGAGAGCAGCACGGCAGTACAGTCAATAAACGCTTTTTTAGCTGATATCAAACCATTAGTATATAGAGAGGCGAAGTCCCTCCCTTTCCTCCATGGGACCTTATTTCTGAATGAGTATGTATTGAAGTCAATGGAGAGAGAAAGATTATCTTTCGAACCCGTTTGAATTGTGCCACGAATCACACATATGATGTTTGTCAATTTTAAAGATAATTTTTCAAGTCAAAAAAAATAAAAGTGTGGTAAAACTGCGAAGTAACACTTTTTTGTGTGTGAAACGCTCAATGAACTACATCTCCCGTCTCGCACCACACACCAAGACGGCCGTCACGTTGGAACATTTCACTTCTTTCTTTCAGAACGAGGCGGAAAGTATTCAAAGAGGTAAAAATCACTCCAAGTCTGGGCACGTTGAGAGCTGTGCACACACACAAGGGGAGTTAGTCGGTTCCTAAGAGCCAGCATGCGGGACCGGGACTCTGGGATTTGTAGTCTTTCTAGTTGCGTATTTTTCATAGTCTTATATTTCAACAGTTTTACGACAAACTGTGACTTTTTTTAAATGGAAATTATTTAAGATCGACAAACATCATGTGTGTAATTCATGGCACAATTCAAACGGGATCCAAAGATAATCTTTCTCCCTCCATTGACTTCAATACATACTTTTTCAGAAATGAGGTCCTATGGGGCGGAAGTAGATGGGCGGGACTTCACCTCTCTATAGAGGGATCAGCTCCAAGATCAATCAAATCAAACCTTATCATTGGCTAAACTCACACATATGCAAATCCTAACAACTCTGTCCTTAAACGACACATTTCCATCAACAAACAACTGCTTGCCATAAAAGATAAAAGCGTTTCCTCATTGCCAACAAACGTTCCCTGCAAGCTGTCCTACAGATGCACAATGTATACTGTATTTGGCCATTATCAGTCATAAAACTAGTGAGTGAGAGCATAAATCAGACATTGGCAACAACATAAAACACACACTCTAATTCCCCACCAGGGATGATTTTTTCTGAGCACTAATTGCTATAAACCAGAGGGTGGTTTTGGAAATCTCCCCAAAAACGTCCATCAAGCTGGTCAAACTGAGCCAACTGCTGGGTCGTCGTATGGCCAGTCCCCCCCAGAGGAGAGCATTGAACAATAGGGCTGGAAAACATATTGGGAGGTTTATTTTTCCTTTTTCTCAGAGAGACGAGAAGGGAAAATAAGCGAAGATCATAAAACACATGAATGAGGAAAAAGAGAGGAGATAAGGGAAGGGAAAAGCCTCCCATTACTGTAATGACTTTTCCACAACGCTGTATAATTAAGTCAGAACACTAACCTTATCTGAAATGGTTTTTATTTGCTAATGTTGCTCATTTTGAAACAAAATTAATCCAAAAACGAATCTATTAAGGCGAAGAAGCTACAAAGCCCTTCACATACTTTTAATATCACCACATTTCTTTTGCAAAATGTAAGGATTTTAAAGTTAAAACATTCACAACAGTCATCTGTTCGACCTGCTGCCCTCGGGTCGGCGCTACCGTTCACTGAAAGCCTGCACCTCCAGACTCAAACAGTGTCTTCCCATGGGCCATTGGGACATTACACACACACAAATAACCCCCCATATCCCCACTGTGCCATAATCATAGTCTGTCTCTATGTATATACTGTAATATGTATCATATATATTTTATCATAATTCTATTTTATTCATTAATCCTGGTCATCTACATGATGATCCGAAGCTGTGTGCGCTACTTGCTGGTCGTAACGGTCAGACCATTTAATCTGTGTTTTAATAAGTCTGTCTTTAAAGCACTCGCTGGAGCAGTAACTATAAATCTCGTTGTATTCTGTACAATGACAATACAAGCTTTTGAATTTGAACAGTGAGAGAACTGAGGGATGTTGCTGCTGCCTAAACAGGAAGGTGCGGTACAGTTTAAGAGGTGTGTTATCCCAGAAAGACATTGGGATTCAGCAGCGTCGCTCAGCAGGAGGACTCTCAGAGGAACACACTGCACAAATGTCAGAGATAAAGGGATGGAAAACACACATGAAGCAGCAACACTTGACATTTAGCCGGCTGTGCTGGGTCTGCTGACTTCACTGTTCCTAAAAGCATCTGACCTTTAAGCCTTTTGGATTTGAAAAAGAGGGACAATTTAGTTTTCAAAGTTAATGCGATCGACAAGTTTGACCCTAATGATGATTGAAGGCTCGTTAAAGTTTGTTGCATTCAACTTTTCTGAACCAAATGACGAAGAGAAGTGTTTAAAGGTGTAACGATAGACAAGAAGACAGAAAAAGAGTGGGAGTCCTGGGGGGTATATTACGAATCTAGTTCAACCTATCCTGGATATGTTTTGAGTTATCCGGTTGACTTAATCCAACACAAAGCCGCTCTCGCTAAACTGTCCTACAACGCTGGCTATCAACTCGTTCGCTCAAGCCAGCCGTGTCCTATCTAGTTAGGTGCGCGTTCACATGAAAGGGGTGGTATCTGGAGCATTCGACCAATCACAAACATGGAGAAGCGTACTGACAGCGCAGCGTCATACTTCCTGAATGAAAAGTCAACTATAATATTAGACATATGAAGAAGTTAAACTTTAAACATCCATGACTTAAACACTTTATCCAGGATCAAAGCCACAGAGCTGCACCTGCAGGGTGAATACAGCTGGTAACAGAACAAGTGCAAGTGTTAACAGAACAAGTGTTTGAATGCGTACATTAACAGGTTTATGATATCACTGCCCCGTCTAAGACACCATCTGACTTTCATTACATTTGACTCGAGTGTTTTGTCAACTTAATGTGTTGCTTAAAATAATACTTATGCATACAGTATGTGACACTGTGAGTGTTGCACGGCCAGATACGGCTCAGCTGACTCAGATAAGGAGATATTATGATGTGATATGATGTGATATGAATGATAATGGGACACATCGACGTCTGCACTCACAGTGCCGCTGACTGTAGGCTACGTAATGTTACTTTGATCCGGTTACTTATGTTGTGGCAGATATTTAATTAAGCTTTCTTAACATAGCCTAATAGTATAATAGTTATAATAGTCAGATCGCTCTGAAGATGGGAGGTGATGTTCTATTCATTTTCACGTTCACAGTCGGTGATTTTGGCCGGCCGTCTTTCCTGCAATGGCAGTTTAAAGTATATTTCCTCCGCACACTGAGCTCTGATTGGTCAGCAGGCGTGGTGCTTTCGCTGAGTTGATCTCTTATCCTGGAACCTATCCGGCTTCGGAGCACAGGCTACGTTCCAGGATAAGTCACCATCGAGATCTAGCCCGCTAAAAAGTGAACCAGCTTCGTAGTACCGGAAATCCCAGAAGTTATCTTGCTAAACAAAAATCCTGCTTCGTAGTATACCCCCCTGGTGAGAGTTATACAGCTATATGCTCAGGCTTTGACATTTGGTCTCCTCTGTAAAGTACTGAAATCAATCAATAGTTCAAGTCAAATTGTTCTTCCACATCTACAAAGTCTGGCTTTGGGTGTCAACTCCACCAGGGGGATTACTCTGTACAGACACAGAAATGTCAACGTTGCAAAAATAAAATATAGACGAAACTAAATACCAAATCGACTTGAGGACATGAATCAGTTTTGGGTAAACTGAGGCGTTAAGGTCAAAATGAGAGACAGCACAAGCTCCCTACATGGAATAACAAATATCCTCATCTTTAATATTGCAATCCAGACTTCCTGTATGATGGGCGGGCGCGATGTAACCAACTCTCTGTAGTCAGTTTAAACAGCCATATCTAATTAGACATTTAGATATGAGTTGGGGAAACAATCGATAAAAGACGGAACAATCCACAAAAAGCCAGACAATGGAAGAAATCTCTGAAGCTAGCAAACACAGCGAAATGTCGGGATAGCAAACCATTATCAACTATATCAACAGGAGCTACCACACCATCTATCCACATCTAAAGACCAACTGAAGACAGAGAGGAAGGAAGAAATCAATAATCCTCGACAAGAAATCTATCGTAAACTCAGAGAATAACAACGAGCTACAGACAGAGAAAATATTCAGCTTCTGAGAACCTGAAATCATGTTGTTCGAGAACGCATGAAGACCAGTGGTTATACTTTTTGGAACTACTTAAATCCTGTATACTAATATCTTGCTTTGAGTTTTCTCCGTGGTATAATTGACTTGTTTTCTATGCAAGGAGCCATTGTCCAAAATACGAGCACAGAATATCTTAAAGTATATGAAGGAGGAACACACACACACACACACACACACACACACACACACACACACACACACACACACACACACACACACACACACACACACACACACACACACACACACACACACACACACACACACACACACACACACACACACACACACACACACACAACACACACACACACACACACACACACACACACACACACACACACACACACACACACACACACACACACACACACACACACACACACACACACACACACACACACACACACACACACACACACACACACACACACACACACACACACACACACACACACACACACACACACACACACACACACACACACACACACACACACACACACACACACACACACACACACACACACACACACACACACACACACACACACACACACACACACACACACACACACACACCTTCTCCAGGGACAGCAGCTGTTGCCTCTGCCTGTCGTCCAGCGCCTGGCTCTGGCTCTGCAGCGCCTCCCTCTCCTCATCCATCCTCAGCACCTTGTCCTTCAGGCGGCTGCGCTCGTTGTCCAGGTCTCTGATGGCGGCTTCCTGCGTCATCTGAGTGGCCTGCAGGTTGCTGATCTGACCTGAGGGGGGGGTGTGAGCACAATGCAAACAGATGGGTGTCATCTAAATATTGACATTCTTGGAGGTTTCTTGTCACAAAAACCAACTGGAGTCAGCATCTTTAACTTCGACTTGGGTCTGAGTTTTCTGCTCTCCTCCATTTAAAGGTCCCCTATTATGCAATCCACGTGTTCAGGTCTTTTCTGTACTTAAGTAAAAGTAGTAATACTGCAGGGTAGCTTGTGAATTTACTCCAGGTGTAGCTAAAGTCTGATTTAAGAGTTAAGTAATTATATTTCATTACATTTCATTTAGCTGACGCTTTTATCCAAAGCGACTTACAATAAGTACATTCGACCAGGGACCCTAACCCAATGTAATTTCACATCATTAATCCACATCTGTAAAGTAACTAAATACATCTAGTGGAGTAAAAGTACACCATTTAGGTCTGGACTGACTGTAGTGGAGCAGAATTACAAAGAAGCAAAAGTGGAAATACTTAAGTACCTCAATATAAGTACAGTACTTGAGTAAATCTACTTAGTTACTACCACCACTGCAGGTATGGTATGTCTACTAGCAGCCCATAATCCACAGTATACATAAAATCAATCAATGTGAATTCTGTTTCTAATTTGTTTAGTTTTTCCCTTAAAAACTAACCTATAAAAATACTGTTAAAGAACCGGATCGATAAGCAGTATTTGTAATTGTTTCCATTAGGCCTCATTATTTCACAGTGGCACAGGATCAACCGCCAATACAAGCACTTTTGTTCATGTTCAATCCATAATAAAATATACAATTATAGTTGGATCTTTTTGTCTTGTTATTATTAGCAGAGAAAATGTAATGTTTGTTCAACTATATACAATTAATTCTACCAATCTCGATGGGAACCGGGTTAGGGGGGGGGCTCGAAAATATTTCCAATTACCCATTTGCCTGACTGAAAAAGGTTGGGAACCACTGGGTTAAACTGTGATGCTGCGGTTTAGCAAACAAACAGTTATATCAGACGCTGATGTAGCCATGGCTCCATTGATTAATAACAGCTTACTATACTTTGACACATTAACCAAAGAAAATAAGAACCAAGTGGTAATTAAATGGATGTTCCTTTAACAACCAATCAAAGGAACAAAGAACAACCGTAGGTCCCTCCACAGTTTAAATAAATGATAAGCTATTATCAGCGCTGTATTGTAAACGAGGCAGAGCAACATTCACCACCGAGATGTTATTTTTCTCCTTCACATGCAAATAGCTGTGGTGCAACATGATGAAGCACTCTCACTGGTCACGAGGAGCTCATAGGAACTAATGGGCCGAGCATAATTCAGCCGCTATTGCTCACACAT